AGCCCTCTGGTTCTATTCTCACCAGGTTCTGGCTCCGAACTTGCCCTCATCGTGAAGTCTTTTGACTGGCCTGGTGTGTTTGCTTCTTTGCTTATTGTTGTCACCACACCAAATTTGTCCGTGGTTCCAGTCTCTCTTCCGACGTGTGCCTCACTCTCTTGGACTGAACTATTGAGGCTGACTTGAGATCCATAGTCCCCTTGCTCCTCTTCATCTTCTTCCTCCTGGGACTCACCATCGTTGCCTGCTCCTCCTCCCATGCTGAATGGAAAGATGTTCCCGAAGGTGTTCTTCATTCTTTATGAAAATGATGATGACGTTGTTTGTTTCCCAGTTCCACCTGCCATCATAGTGTTGTCTGTCGGAGATCTTCTCGTTGTCGCTACCTCAGTTGAGATGTCGGACAGTTCCGACATCTCTTCTCGATCCAATGTCCCGGTGGAAGTGGCAAGATCATGGCCTTGTTCTACCGGGGTAGATTCACTCGCCAGTCTTCTGCCTCTCCCTTCCAGTTCATTTACTTCCTGGTTGTCATTCATGGTATGGTCCGTATTGACCTCCACTTCTAATGGTTCTCTTCGCTCTTCTGAGGTCTTTTGACTTCTCGTTTCAACCATTCTGCCTGAAACCGTTCCCCTTTTGTTAGACCGGGATCGCTTGATCCAATCCACAAAAGGATCGGTCATCGTTTTTCTTTGCTTTTCAGGTATGAATTTCCTAGAGCTATTACCTCGTTTTGGTATCCTTGACTTGTCTAGACTCATTCTCTGTTCGTGACTTTCCTATGCCTACTCTTGACTCAATTGCTAGAGACCTTATAGTTTTATTAACAATAAAATGACACAACACAATAAATTTCACCAGATTCTATTAAATAGTGACCACGAATCTCTGTATGTTATCAGAGTACAGTTTGTATAAAATTTATTCGCACTAATCGATTATCGGTCCAAAGATTTGGAAACTAGCACAATATGATGTTATCAATCAATTTAAAAGATAGTGTATTCACTACCCAATCAAGCACAATTTACGTTGATTTAAAATCAAAAGCAAAAATATATATTGACACAATATGAATGTATATATGATAAAAACAAAAAAAGCGTATGTGTTTTGTACTCTTAGTCGGTCGCAGTACAATAGTCGAACCTGTTGTTTAAAGAAAAAGCTTTCCCTGCTTGGTGCTGCACCAAACAGACAAAACTTTGAAGGCAGTAATTTCTCAAGTGGGCGTCTATTGCACCCACCGAGTACTGTGTTACCTATCTGCCTTCGGACTGCCCGAGCTAGACCTACTAAAATCCTCAGGGCAGTCACTTTTCCCAAAAACGTATTATGTCCAATCCACACCAATGAACCACGTTCTTTTTGATTTAGACTTAGTGTCGCGAATATCCGAGTTTGGACTTGTTTTGTATTAGTCTTGTTCTTATCGAAAGGCAAGTTACCAGTGCAGTCACTGATACCTGGCCTGTGTATAAATAACTTAATACCTCTCACTTTTTAGTCTTTCTTTCGTCTACCTAAGTCCTTAATAAAATAATACCCCTCCGGATTGGCACAAATAGGACCCTTCCGGATTTGTCAGAATCTAGACCCCTCCGGATTGGGACCCCTCCGAGTTTGTTAATATAAGACCCCTCCGGATTTGGACCCCTCCGAATTAGCTACTATAAGACAGACCCCTCCGGATTCGGACCCCTCTTGTAAAAACTTTGACCCCTCCGGATTGGGAGCCCTCCGATTTTGTAAAAGTAGTTTTTAGGAGATTTCCCTTTTTCAACCTATACCCCTCCTAATACGTTCTGTGTTGCTATTATGCTGTTTGAATTAACTGGGAAGGGTATAGGGTCCTTTCCTAGACCCCTCCGGATTGAAGTTAAGGCACTTATTTGACAATTCACACTAACGGTGAAGGGTCTTATCGCTTACCTAATTTCGACTCTATTATGGTTGTCTTGTGCCTTCAGCTCTCCCTTTCCGTCTAGAACTGTCCTAAGTTACTTAGTTCAATCGCTATCAACTTTTGGTAGAGGTCTAAGGGTTTTTCAGAAAAATTTGTAAAACGTGAAGGGTGTACCCCTCCGGATTTGTGTGATTTGCTAAAAACAATCTCAAAAAATTTTTTTTTCTCGTTTTTCCAAAAATTTCTGATCCTATCAGTAAGCTCAGCTAATTTCTGATCTATTGGTACCAAGATCAACTCGATATACTTAGTAGTTCTAAAGTTATTAACCAAAACGTCTTTTTTCCAAACTCAAAAATTTTCTCTCTTATAGGTTCCGCCTAACTTTTTCCGCAAATCTGGTCCTTTCGACCTCAAAATTATTGATCCGAGCTCAGGAGGCCTATACTCTTCTAGTTCAATGCAAAAGACCCGATCTAAAACGCTTTTGTAGAAAAAATTTGCGAAAAACTATGCTACCTGGACCCCTCCGGATTGATGAATCTACCAAATCAAACACGTTAAGTTCGATTTCTCTGCAACCCGGAAGGCTTTCGGGTAGCGGGTTTTAAAACTCGTAGATTCACTAGTGGACGTTGTCCAAACAACTATTTTTACTGTCCTAACTCAAAAATTTCAAAAAATTTTCTGATTTTATAGCGTTTCTTACTATCAAAAAATGGGAAAATTTGGTTTTTGGTACCAAACTAGTTCCAACCACTTCCGAACTAAAGTTAACCGGTTCTGCTTATTATAGTAGTGCAGTTACGATGTAACACACTAACCTAGTGCTTTTTTCCGTTTCAAAAAATATCGATATCTCAAAAATCGCGACTTGTGGGGGGATCAAAATATCGCAATTTTGACCCTAAAAACCGGTCAGTTTTCGTTGTTTTTGGCTGAAAATCGATATAAGACTATTAATATAGGCTATATAAGTAATAATATTAGGAATACTATACCCCTCCGGGTTTGTTTAATCTCCGAATTAAGGTGCTTAACTCGGATATTCGCAGTTCGGTGAAGGGTCACTACAGTGCAGCACTGTCGAGCCCCCCACAGATTACTATCCTACTTTTTGTACCAAAAGGGATACAAAACTTGTTAACGATACCCAACAGTCGATTGTAGTTGTCGTTGAGCCTCTTCCTGTTGTTCCCTGTACTGCTTGCCGGATCGGTCTTCACCCAAGACCCTTCCGAATTGAGCGCAAATCAGCTGACCCCTCCGGATTGAGCGCAATTTATCATTAACGTGCTTAAATGCTCAAATAACCCTACAGTACAAGCCTCACAAACGGGCTACAAAAATGATCGTAACGATCCTGACTGATATAAATGCCTGTAATAACAATATATCTATCAACAACAAACGGGGGGGTTGAATCACATCTTGTCTGGGGGGATGATTTCTACTGATTTTTTACTTTTTTACTGTTTTTGGTTTTTTCGGTTATTTTTTATGTTTTTTGTTTTTCTTGGGTACTATACTACTTTTTGTTTGGTTTTACTTATATCTTTAAGTGTTTTTGGTCACCAACCGCTCAGGGGACGAGGGGACGGCCGATCCCCCCACCCTTCCTGGTTTGTGAATTTTCGGTCTTAACTAGGTTAAAAAACTATTCACGGCAATCCGGAAGGCCTCCGCGTTCCGAACTACCCTTCCGCCCCGGCGGTTTAGGCCTAATAAGGGCGTTAATGTGAGCATCCGCTCGGCGCGGAATGCTCGTTAACGGTTCCGCCGGTCATGATGTTAAAAAAGAATAACACCCAGGAGCGCCATAAAAACATACATGTAACATTCGCCCGGAAGATACATATCGACGGATAACAAAACTAAGTCTTAAGACGACTGGCTAGCGTCTAAACAGAACTTTGCATGTTTTTCACCGTCTCTACCAAGCCAGTACTTTTCGGTGGTCTTTTCCAACATCGGGTCGACAAAAACGTTACTGTTCTCCGGCTTCGACCAGAACGCTCAAATTAACTTAATTACATGCAAATAGTGAGCTCATGGCTGGGTCTCAGTATCCCCAGACCACGAGGTCACTCCTAAAAACAGGGCTACTACTTATTATATTACTATTGTTTTTGTTCAGTAGATAAAAATCATCATCTCCATCGAAGATGGATCAACCCTTCCCCCCCTTACTTCTAGCTCCTCATTCTTGCCAAAACGAATTAAGATCTCAATTAAATTCAAGTCAGGACATGACAGGATGCTAAAATTCAATACAAGTTCATAAAAGTTCCCGTCCCGAGACCCTTCCGGATTCTTGAATCCGGCGAATCAAGCTCCTTAATCTCAAGTTCACGCTAACTCGGAAGGCTGGTCTTCACCCTTCACCGTTGTTCGCAACGGTCTTGCAACTATTGTAACAGCACAATAGTTGCAAGTCGGAACGTCCTCTGCTGTTCGGTAGTTCGTTGTTGTTTTTTTAGTCTCGATTTTCGTACTGTTCGCAATCGCAGATAAAAGTTGTTCTGTTTCTTTTAGCTATTTTAGCTAAAATGGCCGTTTCTGACGTTTCTCAGAAATATGACGTCATAATTCGAATTTTTAAAATTTAGAATTCCAGAATCTTCTAGCCTTCACCGTTTGGCCAATCGTTCAAATAACGTCCTTATCCGTTCTAAATCGCCAATTCGGAAGGCTTGCTGCTAAAATCCCGAATTTTTCAGAGACTGCATTTTGGCCATTCTGGTCGAATGTCACATAAAAATTTAAGCTGCTGAGTAGAAGGCTGCAGTTCCTTTCAGGAACTCGATTCCCTCGCTTCATACAAGGTTATACTTGACCAGGCCTAAACGTTCTTGGCTGACAAAGTTAATTTTCGACCGCAAAACAAAAGAAATTTCTTTGGATATCAAAAAAACTGACCCTTTTCGAGCCCCCTGGATTCGCCAATGCTGATGTATAGAAAAAAAATATCATCAATATCAATTTCATGGTATTTTGTTCTGTTGGTGATTGCTGAGTTGAATAACGGATAATAATTTTTAATTGTTCTAGAAGTTATAAAGTACAAATAGTTTTTTCGTCAATGTTTCAGGTTTCGAAATGGCGCTGAGGAAGGTGAAATTCACAGACGAAGAGACTCAAGCAATCACACGGAGCAGATCGTCTGATTCATTCAGTACACAAGGTATAAACTCAAATTCCACCTCTACCAGATGGATAATCGGCAACGAGGATGGGGGCGAGAGAGAGGGGGAGAAGAGACGAAGTCTTAGTTCTAGCCCGAAAAAGTTGGCTACGAGGAAGTCACTTCACATTGTAGATAGCGGTGAGTACTATTTGTTTGAGCGATTTGACTAATTATGATAAGATGTAATTTGACAATTCAAAGGGTAATTCATTTCCATGTCATTCTATTTTACCCAATCTTCAGGGTAATGGCTTTGCCAATTTTTTCTTTAGGCCAAAAAACAGACGCAATGTATTTGGTTCTCAGTCTGTAGTCTTGATGTCAAATAACAGGAGGGAAAAGAAATTTATTTTATTTTGAATAGAAAGTTGGAGCCGTCAATTTTTTTTATGAAGAAACAAAGTGGCTTCTACGTTAGGATGATTATCTTAGTCTATGCAATTGATGTTTTTGAAGCCTGAAATCAAACTCGAAACCAAGTTTAAAGGCAATATCTGGGTTGAAAAATTTTGTAAAATTAATTTGAATAGCTTCTACGATTATTTTTTGAGTTAAAATCGAGATAATTCTTAAGTCTATGAAGTTTGCTGATTTTGATGTCGTTTTTTGACTGTACGTTGTTTAAGTATTTTTTGACTGATTTGTTTCAGACTTCAAAGACTGTCTGCGATCTCTGAGGAGTGGTATCAAATCCTGCTTCTCAGACGAAACACAAGTTCCACATATTTTGTTGAATCAAACTACTAATGGCGCCGACAGTACAGAAAACAGACAAGCTAGCTCTAGTATGAAAAGCAATCACAATAATTTCACAATTAGCGACAATTTCAAACCAGCCTTCACTAGTACACAAAATCCATCATCATGTAGCCATACTAGAGGCAAAACTTCCAGTTGCAATCACGAAGAACGTTTAACTGCAGAAAACCTGAAGTCAGTTCCAAGAAATACTTCAAATTTTGGAGAAAGTCATGATGAAAATGAGTCATCTGGAAGCGATGATGATGACGATGAAAGAGTTGAAATGATTTCAATATCTTGTCAGACAGTTCCTGTAAGGCATAAGCACAGGTCGGCGCAAGTATCACAGAACGAAATTGCAGTACCAACAGGGTCAAAAAGTGACAATACAGTGCAGTCTTTAACTAGCAATAGCAGTAACACTAGCCCAATCACCATTTCAAAGCCAAGAGCTACACCGAGATCTAGAACAATTTCGAAGGGAAAAGTTCCTGGAAACTTCTATCAATGCTGTTCGTCTTCAAAAGAATCGTCAAACTTTGCCGCAAATTCCAATTTAGAGACTGTTTTTAATATGAAACCAGATGATGTCAACAAAATGAGCGATGCCGAATTTTACGAAAAATTTTGCCTTGAGTACCTCAAACACAAATATGATCCTCACGGAAAACACTGAAAAGCTGAACTTTGTTCAACTTACAATCAGCTTTTTTGTGATTGTTGTTTTAGTTTTGTGATGATTTCGTGAATTAAGTTTGAAAATGATTTTTCATTTTTTCAAATCAGTACGAGGCCAAACTGTGTATTTTGTGAATTCTAAGCGAATTCCGCAACAAGGACGCTCTTTTTTTCTTTTTTTGTTCTTTACTTTCTTTTGATCGTCCCGACAAAATTTTAACATGTTTAATTTCTTTCTTGTCTTGATTCTGATTGGTTAATATCATATTTGTCTGATTACTGACGAGTATGAATACGCGGTTGTCTAAATAGAGACCGCACTCCAATGCCGACATTTCTGAACGCAATATTTAACAAACACCAGACCAAATATATATTTGATCTGAACACAAAGTGCTTTGAAGAGATCGTCTAAAACAAGGGCCAACTGATGACAGGAAGTTGCATCAATTCGTATATAGTATATTCAGTTACGATTTCAATAAAGCTCATATGCGAGCGCTCCATTTTTGAGCGAGTTCTCATGGTAAACTGAATAACATTTCAGTAACAGAACAATATTTACCATGAAGAAAGCTGTTCGTAGGATTTCTGTTAGGTTTGAAGTCAATTGTGATCCTTTGTTTATTTTGCATCTGTTTACCATTCAATCAAAAGGTTAGGCAAAAACATCAATATCTCCAACAGGCATTGGAAAATGCAATCGATTGTTAAGTTACCCGAATGCTCCATCTGTACTGATGTTATTGAGGACCCTAGACACCTTCCATGCGGACACTCTTACTGCGGACCTCCGAAGACATGTTTAGATATGTTGCAATCCGAAGATATGCTGATATGTGCCCTCTGTAAAGAAGAGCATAAAATAAACATATCGGATCTGAAACCTATGTATGGTCTGAGAGAGTTTCTGAAAGAGCAAAAAGAAACTACGCAGGGACTACCGACAATAGTGAGTACTACATCACAGGATAGATTCTCTTGCTTCGTCCATCCTAATACCCCGGTTACCCTGTGGTGTAAAGTATGCCAAGAAACAATGTGTGCAAACTGTGTGGAGTTTGATAAGCATTCAGAACATCAGTTTGTACCGTTTGCAAAAAACTTGCATTCAATAATCATTCAGCAAGCCGGGAAGTTTGCAGACGAGCGTTTGAGCTGTATCATATTATGCAATGAGAAAATAAGGGAGTTGGAACCCAAGTTACAAAAGAATCAAAAGCTGCTAGAACAACTCAAAACTTTAAAAAACTCTTTTGAATCATACTGGGCTGAAATTGAAGCGTTCATAAATCAAAACGAAACAATTCCAAAAAACCTTATTCTTTCATGGTTTTTCCGGGGAAACTTGAAAACAGATATTGAAAAGATATGTCATAGTTTTTCAACTGATGCGTGCTGTTCTACTGAGTTAGTCTTACAAAAATCTGCTCTGACGCAAACTGTTGATTCATTGGATGAACATGCCACCGCCAATGGAGAAACTCAAACGAACTTTCCCTACAGCGATGTTGGAACGCAGACGCACGTTTTCAAAGTTGAACAAGAAACTCAGATCAACTTTTCCAAAGTCGATGTACAAACTCAGACATATGTTTCCGCTAGCGAATCGATAATCGCGAAGAAACATTCAGAATCAAGCTGTGTAGAGACTTTCAGGAGTTGTTCAGCTTCTGGGGAGAATATGATTGATTCGGAGAGCGGTTCCTTAATGTTCAATAGCCATTACTTAAACATATTCAAAATAGATATGAATCCTGTTGTGATTGAATTTCCATTCGACCCTCATCAGACAATGCCCATGAAATTTTGTCGTCCTATTATCATTAAAAATGGGATAATTGACTTGGAAATAGAAAAAAAACTTGAGAAGCTGCAAGTTTTTTTCTGGTTTTTCGGGCCTGATAGTAAAACTTTTACATTGAAAGTACTCCTGAATACAATGAGAGAGTTTTGGGTTTGGAAGAATGAAAAACTGATTCTCGGATCCCGGGAGAAACTAACAACCCTTAAATGGAAGCAATTAAAAATAAGGGGACCAAACGAGTCAGCCATAATTCGCGTTAAGATGTATTTTAATTAGGTTTTGGTTCATTATACTCGGTTATACTACTCTGCTTAGTTTTGAAGTGCTTGTTGTCCTGTATTGATAATCTTGTAATTACTCAAGCTGATTGCATTTACAGATGTTCTGTTTCCATATTTTAATTATCATAAGTTATATCTTCGTCTAAATATATGTTGCTATCTAGATCTTTTCGCAAAACCTGTAGATCAACAGATTATTTTGTGTTAGAGAAGTGACTGTTCGGCTGGGGCCCGGTTTCGATGTATCCTTACTTTTCAAGAAGTCCCTTCCAATTTTCCTTCAATTTTTCGAATGATCTAAGCAAACGTTTTTCAATAAAGACTCAAGCTAGTGCTAAAATTACAATTGCTAAAAGGTGGTCATAGGTTGAGAACAACAAAGTGTTGAGAACAATCTGTAGTTTTCTGTATTTGCTTCGTTGATTCAACTTGAGAGTATTTTGTCTTAATTTGAGTGACAATAAAGCCCATCGTTTTTATTGTCGATTCGTTTGCTGTGAGTTGTTCAGCTAGAATATGGTCTTCATCTCTTTTAGGAAGACATAAAATGTCTCTGTGATATATTTAAGACGAGAGACAGCAACAGACAGCTGTAGGAGAAGAGAGGATTAAATTCAAAAGCTCTTTCTCAGAAATGGCGTGACTTAGTCAATTGCAAAAATACAGTGCTGATTTAAATTAACCGGACAAAACGCGTTCAACTTGAAATTTAAAACGCGTACTTCTCAAATTGGGTTGAGTTTAGGAGAAAACTTATGAAGACAAAACTAGCTTAAAATTTTAGCAGAATTACTATAAAGTAATTTGTTTTGCGAAATTCGGGCCCGAAATTTTACCCCAAAAATGGGTCATTTTGGCTTTTCTTAGTTAATCAAAAATTACGCCCAAAAGACCAAGTCGATCACAGACTTAACTATATCAAAGTGAGCCCCTTACGTAGCCCAACAAACTTTATGAAGGGTATAATCTCCAAAATATTGTATAAGTTGATTTATTTTTGTTTGATAGACAAAAAAGGTCATTTTTACTATATAAAATACCAACTTTTTATTTAAAAATAATTTTTAAACAACTTGCAATTTTTTGGAGATTATACCCTTCATAAAGTTTGTTGGGCTACGTAAGGGGCTCACTTTGTCATAATTGAGTCTGTGATCGACTGGGTATTTTTGGCGTAATTTTTGATTAACTAAGAAAAGCCAAAATGACCCATTTTCGGGGTAAAATTTCGGGCCCGAATTTCGCAAAACAAATTACACCATATTAATTTTGCTGAAATTTTAATCAAGTTTTGTCTTCATAAGTTTTCACCTAAACTCAACCCATTTTGAGAAAAATCCGTTTTAAATTTCAAGTTTAACGCGTTTTGTCCGGTTAATTTAAATCAGCACTGTAGTTTTAACCCATTTTTCCAAGTAACTTTAATTCCTAATTATTGTTCTGATGTCAAATTATTCCTTGTTTTTTAACTTTGCATTATTTTTCTTCAACATGGTTACAATTAAGATTAGGACGATGATCAATTATTTTTCTAAAAAAAAACTGCTAAGATGAAGAATTCTAGGCGATCAACGGAATCCCTTTTGGCAGTGTCAAAGGACTCTTTTCAGGACTTGATTTTTGTTCTTTTGTTTATTTTTGCTGACTAATCCTAAAATACTTTATTAAGGGGTGGAAAGTTTTTTTTGGTCGACCAACAAACAAAATTGAAAACTAATTTTCCACCTAATTCAGCGAAAAGCGTGGATTCCTTTTTAAAGGATAATTTGTTCATAATTATCTTGGTTCATTCCAATAAATGAAGTTGATTGTTCTAAGGACGAGGGGTTTAATTGGGTTCCGGTAATTGAGCTGTAGTTTTTTGTAAAGTTTCATATAGTGTAACTAGGGGCCCAGCTGAAAGCTGGAGAGACCTGTTTGATTATTTTAATATTGATTATTTTAAAATTGTTTTAAAATTTCAGGTTTCTCAAGTCGATAGCGCCCTTCCTACACAAAAAAACTCGAACCATACAAAAAAACTCAACACAAAGCCAATAGCACCAAGCAAAAGCGAGAAAACGTAAGCATAGCGGATTCCATTGTCTAAAAAATACACACATTAAGAATATTGAATCTTTGTTCCAATGCCAAAAAACTTTTCCTAAGTGTACAGCTCTTCCCCCAGACAAATTAAGGACCAGACGCTTGAGCAGGGGAGTTTCCTACAACCTGGTCTATCGATTAAACCCTTAATCCCAAATCTGGATGGGTAGTTTTTGAAGAAATCGAAAAAGTTTGAAAAAATGGCCTAAAAACCGAAAAATTGACTATTCCTAAGTGTATAGCTCTTCCCCTAGACAAATTAGGGACGAGCCGTTTGTGTAGGGGGAGTTCCTACAACCTGGTCTATCGATTAAACCCTTAATCCCAAATCTGGACGGGTAGTTTTTGAGGAAATTGGAAAGATTTGAAAAAAGGCCAAAAAAAGTCAAAAAAGTGACTTTTCCTAAGTCTATAGCTCTTCCCCTAGGCAAGTTAAGGACCAGCCGCTTGTGCGGGGGAGTTTCCTACAACCTGGTCTATCGATTAAACCCTTAATTCCAAATCTGGATGGGTAGTTTTTGAGGAAATCGATAATTTCCGAAAAAATAGGCAAAAAAATCAAAAAAGTGACTTTTCCTAAGTCTATAGCTCTTCCCCTAAGCAAATTAGGGACCAGCCGCTTGTGCATGGGGAGTTCCTACAACCTGGTCTATCGATTAAACCCTTAATCCTAAATCTGGACGGGTAATTTTTGAGGAAATCGATAATTTCCGAAAAAATAGGCAAAAAAATCAAAAAAGTGACTTTTCCTAAGTCTATAGCTCTTCCCCTAAGCAAATTAGGGACCAGCCGCTTGTGCATGGGAGTTTCCTACAACCTGGTCTATCGATTAAACCCTTAATCCCAAATCTGGACGGGTAGTTTTCAGATCTCATCTGGAAAAAAAACCAGATCTCATCTGGAAAAAAAAAACGTTTTCTTAATACCTGTTTAATAAATCAAACAGGAATTATGTTTTTCGACAATGCTTCAAGTTGCCATGGTACGGCACTAAAAAGGTGATTGGTACGAAGACTAAAAGACTCAAGCAGTCAAATAGAATAGACATTCCGGCACAATTAATACACAATGTAACCCCTCACACTTCTCCTCGACTAGATCAACAATCAGAGACAAAGGTGAGAGAAAACGAAAAGCGAGGAAGTCATAGTTTTAGCCAAAAAAAGATGGTCGGTAGGAAAACACTCTTTTTTTGGATAGCAATGAAAGCTTCTAATTTGTGTCAAGGTACAAGTAGATTTCAAATTATATAACAATTCAAACTCCAAAGAGATGGTAGCTTTATTTTTTCTCCCATTCGACGCATATGTTAACTTTTTGCTTTAACCTTTGGTTTTAATGAGTAATAAAAAATTTATCCAATGTGTTTTTTGCATAGCATTTGGCCATAATACCAGATACGAGAGCAATATACAGAAAACCTAGGGAAGTAGGTAAATTCTTATTAATTTGACAGTAGTCATGAAAAATTTCGTTTAAGAAAACCGAAGAAATGCCTATATGGGGGCTGTAACGATGACAATCTGTTTTTATCAAATTGTGTTTTTTATGAATAATTTGATAATGAACTTAAAGCTTTTTATGAAACGATTTGAAAAACAGGTTTCCTGGTATTTACGCCATCTTAACTTGAAAGGTTATGATTGTCTTTGGTGAATTTTTGGACGTTCAACTTATTTCCTAGAAATATCTTAAATAATGAAGAGAATAATGTATATGAAATCATTTGTAGGCTACGACTAAGACAATAAAAGATATCAGTTGCTGGGTAGACTATTCTTGATAGACACAAGCACAAGACTGCCCAACTAAAAAAAAATGAATTAGTATTTATTGGACCAAATTTGATCCACCAATTCTCTTTTATTTAACATCAATTTTCGACAAAAGTTTCAATTTGGAGTCCGTGTTTGATATGAGACCAGATAGTGTTTAGAAAAATGAGCATTGCAGAATTTAGCGGGAAAAAATTGTTTCGATTATCTCAAACACGAAAATTAGTTCGCACGGGAAAACACTGAAATGTTGTAAATTAAACTTAGAAGCCTGTTGTAGTTTTTATTTAAAAATTACGTGGTAAAAATCTGTGTCATTACGCATTTTGTTCTAGTTTTGTAGTGATAGTTCTTTTTTAGTTTTTTTAAGAATTTAAGCGTAAACAGCTTTGCTAGCTGAGATGAACAAATTCGAGGTGGAAACTCAAATAAAATATTGCGATACCGAAATAAAAGTTGCGACTAACAGTTCAGAACTGCGTGTACTGACTTCGAGATGGAAACTCAAACAAGTTTTTGCGATACCGAAATAAAAGTTGCCATGAACAGTTCAAAACTGCGTGTACTGTTTTTGAGAAATAATTCTGACAATGAAGTTGATATCACAACTCAGTCGAAGCATGTTGTCATACCGCTACTGCAGTAGCAGTATTTGTCTATGTATGTACAGTTAACCTATGGTGCTTAATCATTACTTTTATGGTATGCTCAAGGTCATAGTGAGTGATGATATTGAGAATAAGTGAGAGATCAGAGTTCGTAATATTGATCTAGCTCTCAGTACAACAACAAAACAAAAGAATAAGAAAACCTAAATTCAATATTCAAAATACAATATTGAATTACAACTTGTTTTCAACTGATATCGCAACGCATATCACATGGCGCAGCCAGCAGGATTCGCAGATCAAGATAACAGAACGGATATGGGAATTCCGGTATTTTGGGCGTCAGCGAATCTAGACCCTCAGTGGCAATTCAAAATCTGGTTCGAACAATTTCTCATGGCGGTTACGGTCAAAGAAAATGTGAACCCAGAGATTATTTTGGAAGAACCAAAAGATATATTAGAGGAACCACCACCACGCCCTGAAACACCCAGAGACGGGGAGAATGAAGATGCGAGGAACGCTAGGATTCTTAGAGATAAGCTAGCAATGGATAGAGTAGTATTGGAGAACGAAGAGAGACAGACAAGAGGACCACGAGTCGGACACAATGTCTTCTACAACGAAGTACAAAATAAATTGGTGCCCAGATTATTTTTGTCTTTGGGTACAGAGGGAAAGAAGAGATTTCTACAAAAGAACCCGCATGCTGAAATATCGAAAATGACGTTCAGGGAAATAACAGATTTGGCAGAAGTCTCGTTTCAAAAGGTAAAATGTGTAACATACGAAAGATACAAGTTATTTACGAGAATGCAAGAATCTGGAGAATCTCTGGAATCATTTCACGCAGCGTTAACTGCACAAGCAGCCCGATCAGAACTGGGAGCATTGGAAAATGAAATAGTCCGAGACCTGTTCATTTCAAAAATGAAAAACATGACCTTGCAGGACACGTTGACATTTGAGACTCTAGATCCGGAGGAGGTTCTGAAAAGGGCTATAAAATTCGAACATAGCAAGTTAACCACAATGGCGTTTCAAAAGACTAATGCTGCGGCTACAGGGGGATCAAGTAGCAATTACATCTCGGGTGTGAGATTAAAACAAGAACCTGTAATGGCAGTTAGGAATTTGGCGGGGACAACCAAAACTCCAAATAGAAGGGAATCAAA